AGAGACTATGACATTGCCATAGTGTGTGAGATATTGGTCTGGAGATTGTTTAGTGCATAAAACAAACAATCTGAGATTTCCAGATACCTTTTGAGGATGACTACTTTAATGAGTTCCTGGTCACTTTCACCGCTTCTCCAGTTTCTTAAACTTGGCTTCTGTGAATAAACACACAAATAGAATTACGCAAATGAAATACAAAATACTGAGAGTGATTCAGTTACACATTTGAGTGTTATATTAATCTCACAAAATGAGCTCACTACTATAACGGAAGAGGAACCCGAGTATCTATTTTGGTCTTATAGCGCCATCTAATGTCCTAATTAACTAATTAATTCAAGGGTATTTCATTTTTCAAGAGGTCCAGTCTTTGCATTTCTATATATCTTACACATAATACGAGTGTTGCTATAATGGTCTACAGATCTACATACAAAGAAACAAATGATTTCATTAAATTAGTAGGCCAAAAACTAGAAATATCATAAGCTGGTTCTGAATGACGGTCAATTTATTTAAAATTATATAAAAAAAAAAAAATACAGGAAGTGCTTTGATTAGTAAATCATAGATTCTTTTATTTCAGTTGAACTGCAAAAGTAAAACGGTAATAAAAGTAGATGCACAGCAAAAATAGGAAGGGGTGTGTGTGTGCCATCTGAAGTGGGCGCCTACAGAGCAGACGGCTCTATTGATTGTGATGGGAAATGAACTAGTTTTGTTACATCATGATTCTCTCTTCATAGAGTGCAGCAGAGATGTCATATTTTTGTCTGCCAAAACCCAGAAACGCATTGCATTTTAGCACCTCCGGTTCCATCATGCTGAAGTCATTGGGTTTTTTCGACCGGATGTTTAGTTAAATGCTTGAAATAAGATCTGTGGTGAAGTAAAGCTCAAAAAAATTTCATGTTTTATTCTACAACATAAAATACACCAGTAATAACCACTTGCAACCCTCTACATTGCGAGTAAATCACTTGCATATGCGACTAAATCTTACTCTGGGCGACTAAATAATGTCTAACATTAGCCATTGGCTAATAAATTCTTAGATTTTACTCGCCAGTATGTGTGTGAGAGGCGTTCAACACAGATTTTCACTCGATAAACACGCTGACTGAGCGCTTGAGAGTTTCACTCTCCGTCAAACCTAGCGACTTTTTTGGATAAACCTTAGCTATGGTTCAGTTGGAAGATTTCTCCAGTGCTGTCCCGCGAGCGCGAGGTCTGACTTTCCCGGAGAAGTGTCACCTCTCTCTGCGTCTGTTCTGTGCAGTGAGCGGCAGAGAAAGCAGCGCATTCAGTTGGCCGCACCGCAGCCGACTTGTCAATAAATGAGTACAAAACAGCGTTTCCTAGCACCCTGTCGCTTACTGATTGTTTGGAATTATAAATATGAGCGTAGTTCGTCTGTTGATATCACATGCACTTTTTTGTTTGTTGTTTTTTTTAGTTTGTTACTCAGACGCAGGCAGTGCGCTGCATGAGACAAAAAAGTAATATAGCCAAAACAACCGCATAGCCGCTCTTTAGTGTAGATGCATGTTGATTTTATCAGACGATGCCGCGATTATAAATGAGAGTGACTCCTGGTTAACATGTATTAAAAGGGGTCATGTTTAGTCATTATATAGTGTGGTATTTGACAATATTCACTCATCGTGACAGTAAAATAGGGCATTCTAAATCAATATACTGCAGTATTTCCTCTCTCAAACAGTAGAAAATATGGTTAACACCCGGTCATGCATGAAAAAAAAATACCGTCATGTACCGTGAAACCGGTATAATTTTGAAAAATACCGTGATATAAATTTTTGGTCATACCGCCCAGCACTATCACAAAGCTTATTTTCTGCAATAATTCAAACGTCAATGGAAAAATCTTTCTGGGTTTTTGTCAAAGGAATCAGGAGGATGATGCTAACTTTGGGTTGGCCTATAAAAATACGTCATCACTGCAGCACCCTATTGTCATGACAAGCAACTTGCCTTTTGTTTTCTGTACAGTATGTTATGGGTAGGTTCAATCAAAAGAATTCATAGTCCAGACAAACCTAATGGTGTCCTTCATCATTTTTAATCAAATTGAATATAAAATATATAAAAAAGTATGTAAAAAAAGCTCCCAGTATTTTTCACAGAGTTCTTTGTACTCACCCAGTTTCTTTGAATATGTGTCTAGTTTATAAGCAGCCTGTTCCAGAGCCGTAACCTGCTCTTCGATCTGGTTAATCTGATCCAGGTAAGGCTGCAAACTGGCATCTAAAGCCAAAAATGAAGACATAATTTAAGACAAATCAATATATGGCTTGCATACTCACTTATTAGCAAATCACAAAAATAAACACTTGCAATGATGACAGTGATGTTAATAAACACAAGTGTACTTCGAACATTGTGATAAGATCTGGTTGAAAAAAAGATTAATGTCATATTAACAACATACATTGGTTGATTTTATAGATTGCTGCCACATTTCTCACATTTCTGATTGAGATCTTGTAGATTGCGGCTGATGTTGATGGATATGTCCTTCATCTCCATGTACTTCAGACTGGTGAGTTTGTTCATGTTCTCTAGGAGTTTGTAGTCCTCGCAGGTTGCTGAGCAAACAAAACAAAAATTACTCACAAAGTTCTATATAAATTGAAAGAGAGAGAAATATATTCATTGTTGTTCTTCTATTATCATTACCGGTGAGCTCTCCCTGTAAGAAAACTGACATTTTGTCAAACATGTCTCTGCAGAGCTCATTGATATCAGGTTCAGCGGGTTCAGTGGCCTCCTCTGCAGTCTCCACACCTCCGTCATCTGTTACAGACAGCAGACACTTTAGTGTCCCAAAAAACAAGTGAGCTGCCTACCTAGGCAGAATTTTTAAGCACTAAATGTATTTGATGCCCAAAGTGCAATCTAGGTAGACAGTTTACTGGGTTTTGAGACACAGACACAGTCTAGTGACAAATGTACACAAAACGCATCATTCTCTTTGGAAACAGAACAAGTCAAACACCCCAAAACAGGCTGCATTAGCTAAAAAAAATAAGCGACAAACACAACCTGACCAATAGCTGCACTGGAAAGATGAGAGAATCACTACTACAGATGAAGTTGCAGTGACTCGCACACAGGCTGATTTATTTACAAAAGCAGCTTACTGTTATTACTGCGTCTTTTGGCTTTTGGGTTCTCTGTCGCATCGTTTGTGGCCTCGTCTCTCCTGTGCTTGTGCTCGGGCTCGGCTGTGAGCTTGAGGTCGGTCGGGGGAGCGGGTGCTTTGAAGATGCTGTCCATCGCTGCGGCCTTCTCCCCCGTAGCTGCCATTTTCAGCTCACATGATCACATGACCAGAACCAGTTTCACGTGACTTCTCGTTTCCGTCTTTTTTCTTATGCAGTGAAATGAAACCGAATATTTTTTTTTTTAATCTGGTGAAACGAATCGATAAGACGATTTATTTATGAAGCGTTACGAGAATATGTGAAAACAATTACAAAGTAGTCAGATTTGTTACTCTTACTTCTTTTGTATGTAATATTCTTTTTGACATGCATATCAGATACAGTTCCTAAATACAGAATGTGAAACCTAAAGGTGTATCATTAAGGGTTATAATTAATAAAGTATAGGTCAAAAACACATGTTTCATATACAGATATGGGTGGGGCTGCGTGACAACTCTGGCAATTTAAAAAGAGTGAAGCAAAGAACAATGAGTTTCTATGAAATGTATTTCCGGCCGAGTGCATTTCAAAATAATGAGTAATTCTAAATTGGATTAGTACTCTTCTTCTTCTCTCGAGTTTTTTGGCGGATTGGCAAACCAACGTTAAAGGTGCATGTCCGCCACCTACTGGTCTGGAGTGTGAAACGTAAACGGTTCAGCTATGAATTATTCAACTATTATAGATTAAAAAAATAATAATAATAAAATAAAATCAACCAAAAAATGTTACGTAAATAAATACAAAATTCCAAACTTGTATATATATTGCAGCTGCTGTTCTTCCAGTCCCTGGGTCTTTAGATCCATCTGTGTATATCTGCAATACTGAATAATATGTTTGATTTATATATTGTTGCACAACTGAAACTATTGGGATGTTCATGTCGATGCTTTTTATCTCTTTATGAATGTTTAAATCAACAAATGGCATTGGAAACAGCCAGGGAGGTATCGCCGGAGTCGCCACTGATGGTGCAATATCAATCTCATCGAGACCCATTCTCTGTGCTTCCTTCCCAACAATCCAGCCAAAACTTACAAATTCTTTACATTCATACTCCCAACATTCTCTTAAAATATTCTTGACTGGGTGACTTTCCGAGTGACCCTTAATGCTAGTGTATGTATCTATTAGTTAATGTATCTTCTCAATCTTTTTAGTCCAAGTTTTATTTGCAGAAGTATACACCATACAACCATAATCAATGTTGGCTCTTATTACTGCTTTATATATTCTTTCCATTGATTGACGCCTAGCCCCCCATTCAACTCCCGATAAGCATCTTAATATGCTTTATATATTCCATTGATTGACGCCTAGCCCCCCATTCAACTCCAGATAAGCATCTTAATATGTTTATCCCTTTCTTACATTTTTCTATCAGCTTCTGAATATGTATTCTGAAGTTCAATTTTGAGTCCATCCACATTCCTAGAAATCTGACTACATTATCTTCTTCTAGCTGTTGCCCATACATTTTTATATTCAGAGAAGGATTACTTTTCTTATTCGAAAAACATATTACCTGCGTTTTTGCCACAGAAAATCTGAAACCCCATTTCCTTGCCCAATCCTCAACCTCCTTTACAGCTTTTTGCATTTTCTTTTCCACATGCAAAACATTTCGCCCCCTAAACCATAACGCTCCATCATCTGCATACAATGACCTGCTGACACCAACGTCAATATTAGAAAAAATTTAATTCATCATTAAGTTAAAAAGAATAGGACTACTTACACTACCTTGAGGAGTTCAGTTCTCTATTGGAAGAACCCGAGAGTATGCATAACCCACTCTCACTTGTATTGTTATACATTTTACCTTTAATTCCCATACTATCCTATTTCAATAAAAAACCTCCTTCCACAACATATCATATGCCTTTTCAATATCGAAAAACACACCTACTACTAATTCCTTCTTAACTTGAGCCTTCCTAATTTAATTTTCCAAACATAAAACTGAATCCATGGTATTCCTCCCTTTCCCGATATAATTCTGATATGCAGGAAACAGGTTCTTGCTCTCAATAACATATGACAATCTATTCATAACCATTCGTTCCATAAGTTTGCAAATATTGGAAGTCAGAGATATTGGTCTATAATTGATTGTCTGAGATTGATCTTTTCCTGGTTTGGCGATCGGCACCACAACCCCGTGCTTCCATGCATCAGGCAACTTCCCTGTTTCCCATTTGTCTGTGATCTTTGATATCTCTTTTTTTTCATCCTGTTTGCTTTTCATTTTTTGTTCAGGTAATGATACCCTACTACTCCCTACTTCATTCTTCTTTCCAACTTTCTTTAGCGCTTCAGTATACGATATCCCTTCCTCAACTCTGACCGTCTGAACTTGCGCCGCCTGATTCCTCACCTTACATCCTCCGTATCCCACACTGTGCTCTCCTCCGCAATTACAGCATTTGGTACTAATTCCTTGCCCACATTGACCATATTCATGTTCACCCCCACATCTTGCACATCTTGGATTAGTACTCGGAATTTTGCCCTCGTGTCTTTTTGTGTGGATTCTAAATGTAGTGTGATTATACTGTATATATATATATAATATATGTGTGTGTGTGTGTGTGTGTATGTGTGTGTGTGTGTGTGTGTATTTATATATACACATAATAGATATACACAGTACACCTATATTATACAAACATATATTATGTAAACTAAAAAATTTATTTTGGATGTGACAGCACTTTATATATATTGTCTAGATAATGAATTTAAGATTACATTAAATTCACTAAAATTCAAACCCACTCACGTGATGCATAATAAACTAATAAACTTAATACCGGTAAACAACTGATCAATAAATAATCCACTTAAAATATATCCAGTTTCTTCTTTAAAATAATGATAATATAACATGAATTGCGTATTATATAGTACACTTTGAGTCATATTTTACTAATTTTCACACACATTAATGATCAGGAATATATTTTCATTCACACTTTATGATGTTGAATGAATGTAGGCTATTTACTTATTTTTTGTGTTTATATTATTCATTTACTTGTGTTGCTACGTATGTTTCTTTTTAAAAGTCATTATTTTTTATATACATGTATTTTTCTTACAATATTATTCATATGTATTATTATTATTATGAATGCGTTTTTTACCTTTATTTTGAAAAATATTTCCGTCTCCACCCACCTAGCGAGCCATCGGCGTCGCCAGCTTCACAGGCCTGGCGTGGCCCTCTCTCAGCCCCGCTGCCCTCTGCCTGTGACGGGAATCCATCGTGACAGGATACCAGCAGCACCACCGACTGTAAACATGGCGGCGTGCACAGCCGGATGTCTGTGCTATGTGCCCCCTTACTGAAGCCCCGATCATCGACACACTTCCATGATGGAGACAGAGGAGGAGCAGCATATGACCACGCTGTTATGCATGGGTTTCCCAGACCCGGTGGCCATCCGAAAAGCCCTGCGCCTGGCCAAAAACGACATCAACGAGGCTGTCGCGCTGCTCACCAACGAAAGCCCGGGACTCGGATACGGCTACGAGCCGATGGAAAGCGGCCCTTCCCCGGGCTCCGGCCTCAGCGGAGACGGCGAGAACAGCGGGCGCACGGGCACCGGAGGGTTTGATCCTCCGCCTGCGTATCACGATGTTGTGGAAAGTGAGGTATGATTATGAAACGCATGCATTTGTGATCATTCGCACGGTTGCTTGAGGCGGAACCACCGGGGCTGTCAAAAACCGGAGGGAATGGCGCGCGTACGCCTTTATCGCCTCTGCATAAGCATGTATTACCTGTTGTGCATGTGCATGGAACACCTGACAAGGATGTCAAGATATGTTCTCTTAACGTTGCATTCTTTATGCATGCATTAGCAGGTTACGAATAAATTCAGCAGAGGCGTTCATTCACATGGCAGCAGAAGTTGTAGGATCTTGGGGGATGGGTGTCGTAGATTGCATTTAAACGCGTGACTCTGTTAGAGTTTACTTTGTTTTTATTTGCGCGTTGAAAGGGAAGCATTCAGCCAATGGAGTGTTTTTCCTCCTGATCAATTATTAAACCAATGTCTGTCTTACTGTTGAGTAATAGGAGGAAACGTGTGGCTGATGATTTACATGTCAGGTTGTTGGACCATCAAGTGTCATTAGATTCCAGCATGTCATCTGTTATGTTACCTCTGCAATGAAGCCAATATTCACCAGTGTTACTGGGTTGAATTAAACAAGACTGATGAGAAGCTGAATATGAATTCACTTTTGTGTGCTTGGAGTCTTCATTCCCACAGTTCTTGGATTATTATTTGTGTGGATTTGGATGCGAGGTTTCTGCGGGTCTTAATTCATCCTTCCACAAAGGTCTTGAATTGAAGCAGGAAATCATAAAATGATGGCATTAAATGTTGCATGCGCTGCAAATAATGAATATTTCCCTCAGTGTGTTTTTCCTAATACAAATATCTAAATATCTTTAAATGAAGATGTTTTTAAGTCTTGTTTTCTGCTAAATGTTACACAGGGTTCGTACGGTCTTGAAAAACCTGGAAAAGTCATGGAATTTCAAAACGGTAATTTCCAGGCCTGGAAACGTTTTGGAAGAATTAATAAACCAAGAAAGTTTTGGGAGGAGTCGTGGAAATTTATTTCACAAATCTCTGTGCAATAAAATATATTTTTATTCAGGTCCTGAATTTCAGTGTGCGATCGCGCATATATCGCCTAGTTTTACTCGTTCCCGCAGGTTTCGAGTTCATAATGCGGGAAATTCCCGCAAACATTTATTTAATATAAACATAAAACCATGTCTGTATTTGTGATCAGAGAAACGACAAACAACAAGCGCTACTCTACACTGCTCAAAACTCACGTTTGAATCGTCAGTGGCAAATCCTTTAAATATAAAAAAAAACGTACTTCCAGGCTGTGAGTCAGAAGCGCCAGACTGTCCTTGCAAAGTTGGAATTGCCCCACTTTATAGAAACAGCCTTTGTGC